GTTAAGTTATCGTCATCAAAGGGTTAAGTTATCGCCATCAAAGGGTTAAGTTATCGTCATCAAAGGGTTAAGTTATCGCCATCAAAGGGTTAAGTATCGTCATCAAAGGGTTAAGTTATCGTCATCAAAGGGTTGCTATCGTCATCAAAGGGTTAAGGTCGTCATCAAAGGGCTAAGTTATCGCCATCAGCGGTTAAGTTATCGTCATCAAAGGGTTAAGTTATCGTCATCAAAGAGTGTTAAGTCCTATTAATTATCGTCCTCAAAGGGTTAAGTTATCGTCATCAAAGGGTTAAGTTATCGTCATCAAAGGGTTAAGTTATCGTCATCAAAGGGTTAAGTTATCGTAATCAAAGGGTTAAGTTATCGTCACCAAAGGGTTAAGTTATCGTCATCAAAGGGTTAAGTTATAGTCATCAAAGGGTTAAGTTATCCTCCTCAAAGAGTTAAATAATCGTCATCAAAGGGTTAAGTTATCCTCCTCAAAGGGTTAAGTTGACGTCATCAAATGGTTGAGTTATCGTTATCAAAGGGTTAAGTTATCGGCCTCAAAGTTAAATAATCGTCATCAGGGTTGTTATCGTCATCAAAGGTTATCGTCATCAAAGGTTGTTAATTATCGTCATCAAAGGGTTGTTATCGTCATCAAAGGGTTAAGTTATCGTCATCAAAGGGGTTGTTATCGTCATCAGGGTTAAGTTATCGTCATTAAAGGGGTTAGTTATCGCCATCAAAGGGTTAAGTATCGCCATCGTGTTATCGTCATCAGTTGTTATCGTCATCAAAGGTTGTTATCGCATCAAAGGGTTAAGTTATCGTCATCAGGGTTGTTATCGTCATCAAGGTTAAGTTATCGCCATCAAAGGGTTGGTGTTATCGTCATCAGCGGTTGTTATCGCCATCAGGGTTAGTTATCGTCATCAAAGGGTTGTTATCGTCAAAGGGGTTGCTATCGCCATCAGGGTTGTTATCGTCATCAGCGGTTAAGTTATCGTCATCAAAGGTTGTTATCGCCATCAAAGGTTAAGTTATCGTCATCAAGGTTGTTATCGTCATCAAAGGGTTAAGTTATCGTCATCAAAGGTTGGTTATCGTCATCAAAGGTTATCGTCATCAAAGGGTTAAGTTATCGCCATCAAAGGGTTAAGTTATCGCCATCAAAGGGTTGTTATCGCCATCAAAGGGTTGTTATCGCCATCAAGGTTAAGTTATCGTCATCAGGGTTTAAGTTATCGTCATCAGGTTGTTATCGTCATTAAAGGTTATCGCCATCAGGGTTAAGTTATCGTCATCAGGTTAGTTATCGTCATCAAAGGGTTAAGTTATCGCCATCAAAGGGTTGTTATCGTCATCAAAGGGTTGGTTATCGTCATCAAAGGGTTAAGTTATCGTCATCAAAGGGTTGTTATCGTCATCAGCGGTTAAGTTATCGTCATCAAAGGGTTAGTTATCGCCATCAGGGTTGGTTATCGTCATCAAAGGTTAAGTTATCGTCATCAAGGGTTGTTATCGTCATCAAAGGGTTAAGTTATCGTCATCAAAGGGTTAAGTTATCGTCATCAAAGGGTTAAGTTATCGTCATCAAAGGGTTAAGTTATCGTCATCAAAGGGTTAAGTTATCGTCATCAAAGGGTTAAGTTATCGTCATCAAAGGGTTAAGTTATCGTCATCAAAGGGTTAAGTTATCGTCATCAAAGGGTTAAGTTATCGTCATCAAAGGGTTAAGTTATCGTCATCAAAGGGTTAAGTTATCGTCATCAAAGGGTTAAGTTATCGTCATACACGCTGCTTGTTTTACTGGGCTAAAATTCACATATAATCTCCAGTAAAAATTTAAATAAATCCTAAAAGAACAGTAATTCCAAGCATAAACCGGTGATATAGTTATTGTTCACTTTATAATTTATTTGGTGTTGTTTAAAATCATTATTCAGGACGTTTCTTTGACCAGCCAGCCAGACGCCTTCGACACTTGTAAACAAACTTTACAAGGACGGATTTTCATGAGCTCTGTTTGTGGCTTCCCTGACGTCTCACTTGTTTCAGTTATCACACAATCCTTCTAGGTCTCAGCTATTGTATATATAAATATTATAAAGGGTCTTACTAAAGCCTAAGGAAGGAAGGATATTCCTTTAGCACATTATCAATATTATTTACATAATATCTGGCCAGTATGGGGAGGATCATCGTCAGGGGGTCGTGGTCCAGCAGGCGTCACGGAAGCGTTGTGTGTGGGGACGTCTTAGGGGGGAGTGGATGAGGGTGCTGCTGTCGGGTCTTCTGCATAATGCACAAGAGCGTTGCTCGGGGATGCGGGGATACCAATCTCCCAAGCAAAGTCATACCCAATGATGATACGGGCAGCAATCACGTCTCTTTTACGCGACCCTTTCCCATAGACATACGGGAGGTCAGGAAGTGTTGTGGTTTTCATTACCTTGGGCAGATGTATCAACGAAACACTCCAGTGTGATGCAAAATGTGTCTTAGTTTTGCTGGAGGAAAGTGTTTGTGTGGCGACCTGTGGTATAATGGTCAGTATGCTCGCCTCGCAAGTGAGTGGACCCGGGTTCGATCCTCGGGCAGGGTGAAACTATGGACAAGTTTCTTTACGCCATTTGCCTCTGTCTACCCAGCAGCAGTAATTGGGGACCTGGATGTTAATCGTGTTCCGGGGTAATGGTTAGCCAGTGCAGTCGGTGAGTTGTCCGGTCTTCTCGGACACTGTGTCATGCAGCTCGTTAACTCAGGGTGTGGTTGTTGTGTTGGTGACAGCTTCTACACCTTAAACACTGGGTCATGCAGCTCGTTAACTCAGGGTGTGGTTGTTGTGTTGGCGACAGCTTCTACACCTTAAACACTGGGTCATGCAGCTCGTTAACTCAGGGTGTGGTTGTTGTGCTGGTGACAGCTTCTACACCTTAAACACTGGGTCATGCAGCTCGTTAACTTAGGGTGTGGTTGTTGAGCTGGTGACAGCTTTTACACCTTAAACACTGGGTCATGCAGCTCGTTAACTCAGGGTGTGGTTGTTGTGTTGGCGACAGCTTTACACCTTAAACACTGGGTCATGCAGCCTGTTAACTCAGGTGTGGTTGTTGTGTTGGTGACAGCTTCTACACCTTAAACAATGGATCATGCGACTCGTTAACTCAGGGTATGGTTGTTGTGTTGGTGACAGCTTCTACACCTCAAACAATGGATCATGCGACTCGTTAACTTAGGGTGTGGTTGTTGTGCTGGTGATAGCTTCTACACCTTAGACACTGGGTCATGCAGCTCGTTAACTCAGGGTATGGTTGTTGTGTTGGTGACAGCTTCTACACCTTAGACACTGGGTCATGCAGCTCGTTAACTCAGGGTATGGTTGTTGTGTTGGTGACAGCTTCTACACCTTAGACACTGGATCATGCGACTCGTTAACCCAGGGTGTGGTTGTGGTGTTGGTGACAGCTTCTACACCTCAAACAATGGATCATGCGACTCGTTAACTTAGGGTGTGGTTGTTGTGCTGGTGATAGCTTCTACACCTTAAACACTGGGTCATGCAGCTCGTTAACTTAGGGTGTGGTTGTTGTGTTGGCGACAGCTTCTACACCTTAAACACTGGGTCATGCAGCTCGTTAACCCAGGGTGTGGTTGTTGTGTTGGTGATAGCTTCTACACCTTAGACACTGGGTCGTGCAGCTCGTTAACTGAGGGGTGTGATTTGTTGTGTTGGCGACAGCTTCTACACCTTAAACACTGGGTCATGCAGCTCGTTAACTGAGGGTGTGGTTGTTGTGTTGGTGACAGCTGCTACACCTTAAACACTGGGTCATGCAGCTCGTTAACTCAGGGTGTGGTTGTTGTTGGTGACAGCTTCTACACCTTAAACACTGGGTCATGCAGCTCGTTAACTCAGGGTGTGGTTGTTGTGTTGGCGACAGCTTCTACCTTAAACACTGGGTCATGCAGCTCGTTAACTCAGGGTTGTTGTGTTGGTACAGCTTTACACCTTAAACACTGGGCATGCAGCTCGTTAACTCAGGGTGTGGTTGTTGTTGGTGACAGCTTCTATACCTTAAACACTGGGTCATGCAGCTCGTTAACTCAGGGTGTGGTTGTTGTGTTGGTGACAGCTTCTACACCTTAAACACTGGGTCATGCAGCTCGTTAACTCAGGGTGTGGTTGTTGTGTTGGTGACAGCGTCTACACCTTAAACACTGGATCATGCAGCTCGTTAACTCAGGGTGTGGTTGTTGTGTTGGTGACAGCTTCTACACCTTAAACAAATTCACGTCTACAGTAGGTGGCCCTTGGGCCGGCCATCCTCGTTACACTAGGGGCAACCATTATATGTTTGTGTGTGTGTGTGTGTTTAATTCAAATGGTTTACATATCAAATTACTTAAAAAATAAGAATGTTTATTAGTGAATTATGACACATGTGATAAATTTAAACACACAAAACATTACACACACACACACACACCCCTTCACCTTCTCTTGTTACCACATACTTGATCATGAGACGAAAGTGAAAGCAGGAGGCGGTGAGGGTACATTCTCCTCCTCCTCTTCCTGTTTTCCTCTTCCTCCTCTTTTTCCTCCTCTTCTTCCTCTTCCCCCTCTTCCTCTTCTTCCTCCTCTTCTTCCTCCTCTTCTTCCTCGTCCTCCTCTTCCTTTTCTTTCTCCTCCTCTTCCTCTTCCTCCTCTTCTTTCTCCTCCTCCTCCTCTTCTTCCTCTTCTTTCTTCTCTTCTTCCTCCTCCTCCTCTTCTCCCTCTTCTTCCTCCTCCTCCTCTTCTTCCTCTTCTTCCTCCTCTTCCTCCTCTTCTTCCTCGTCCTCCTCCTTCCTCCTCCTCCTCTTCCTCCCGCCACCTTGAAGACACCAGATTATGATTTCCTCAACACACACACACACACACACAGAGTTATGAACACATCACCTTAATCATTCTCTTCCCCGTAGAAGTGTAGAAAGAATGTAGGAACTTATTGTTTAGCCTTGGGGGGCGTGATGTCCTGAGAGGCAGATGTGTGGTGATGGCAGGATAGGGTAGGGGGGCAGTCAAGCAGGATAGGGATGAACAGGAATGCAAATAGGACAAAACATGAGGGCAGGGCAGGGCAGGGCAGGGCAGGGCAGCAAAGTTGTTGATACTTATTAGTAGTCACATCTCTCCTCCTTCAGGTTAGACGCCCTTCCCTTCTTCAGGTTCCCCAGCCGTATGACTAGGTTCCTGGGTACACCTGCCGCTAGGAGATCTCTGGCTGTAGGTGCTGTAGATGACGCAGAAGGAGTAGTTTTGAGGGCAGGACAGTGTGTGAACGATTCCCAAGCAGCCTCCAGTAGGGGCGGCGTGTCTAGCCTGGCGCGGTAGACGGTTGAGGATCTGTCGGTGCTGCCTATGGAGGACAGGCCGCCGTACACGTAGAGATAACCGCTCTGTAAATAGAACTGCGGTAAATAACTGCTCTGTTAATGTAAGCTCTGTAAACAACTGCTCTGTAATCATAACCTCTCACCTAACCTGACACTAACCTGACACTAACCTAACACTAACCTGACACTAACCTGACACTAACCTGACACTAACCTGACACTAACCTGATATATTTATTATAATTACTTAATGAGGAAAATAACAACATATCAGTGAGGGGTGAGGTACCTTAGTGAGGGGTGAGGTACCTAGGTGAGGGGTGAGGTACCTTAGTGAGGGGTGAGGTACCTAGGGTGAGGGGTGAGGTACCTAGTGAGGGGTGAGGTACCTTAGTGAGGGGTGAGGTACCTTAGTGAGGGGTGAGGTACCTTAGTGAGGGGTGAGGTACTAGTGAGGGTGTGAGGTACCTAGGTGAGGGTGAGTACCTAGGTGAGGGTGAGGCACCTTAGTGAGGGGTGAGGTACCTTAGTGAGGGTGAGGGGTACTAGTGAGGGGTGAGGTACTAGTGAGGGGTGAGGCACTAGTGAGGGGTGAGGTGCCTAGTGAGGGGTGTGAGGTACCTTAGTGAGGGGTGAGGCACCTAGTGAGGGGTGAGGTACCTTAGGTGAGGGGTGAGGTACCTTAGTGAGGGGTGAGGTACCTTAGTGAGGGGTGAGGTACCTAGGTGAGGGGTGAGGTACCTTAGTGAGGGCTGCATCGTGGAAATATAAAGGTTTAGGTAATTGCAGATTAACTTTGGTCCAGGTGAGATAGATCAAGTCCAGTTTCCATACGTCAGACTGCACCTCTGACCCGTCCGTGCCTCCTATCACGTACAGCTCTGGAAGAATAAGTACACGGACCTGTTAAGGACTCTCTCTCTTGAATTTCTTCTAAAAATTAATTTATTTAATCCCACATACGAGCGCTTATCAGACCTGGTTCTGATGCCCGTGTGTGTGTGTGTGTGTGTGTTTTCATTCAACCTTGGCTTGGCTTGTAAGATAAAATGTTTATTCCCTTTAAACCATTCATTAATATTAACTCAGGTGTACACACGACAGGTTACTTACACAGCTTATATAACTAAGAGAATTTACCCGTAACTCACCTGTGAATCACCTGTAACTCACCTGTATCTTTCTGTACGGCAGCGTGACACCGTCTTGGGCTGGGATAGGCGTTTACGAGTGGGTCTGGATGGGTTTTAACCATCTCCCATTTACCCGTGTCCAAACTCAGCACTGGCAACTGCAAAGAGGAAATTCCAATGTGTCAGTCAAAGGCGGGCATGACAGCGTCGTTCTGCTATCCTACAATATTTTCCTGTTGTGTTAATGACGCAGGGTGGAGCTATGGGCAAGTTTCTCAACGCCATTTGTCTCTGTCTACCCAGCAGCAGTAATTGGGGACCTGGATGTTAATTGTGTTCCGGGGTAATGGTTAGCCAGTGCAGTCGGTGAGTTGTCCGGTTTTCTCGGACTATTCCTTGACACTGGGTCATGCAGCTCGTTAACTCAGGGTGTGGTTGTTGTGTTGGTGACAGCTTCTACACAATTATTATTATTATTATTATTATTATTATTATTATTATTATTATTATTAAGATTATTATTATAATTATTGTTGTTGTTGTTGTTACACTATGCCATTATGAGATGACGTGTGTGTGTGTGTGTGTGTACTTTACCTCATCAAGGAAGAACACATTGTAGGCGTCAGCACCGCCCACGACCACCAGTCTGCCAGGCACCACGCCCACCTCTGCCCTATACCTCCCCTGTGGCTCACCATCCTGGTCAGATTAGGTCAGATTACGTTAGGTTACGTTAGGTGAGATATAAGAACATATAATTTTACCTCAGCTGGGGGTTAATCAGGTGTAATAAGCTGGGGTTGAAGCTTACCTTGAGGATACCGTGGGGCGCCAGACAGGTCCAGGTGAGGGTGGGCAGGTGAAGGGCGTGGGCGTGCATGGAGAAGTGATAGCCCGACGTGCCGCCCACGACGTACATATTGTCCCCCAAGCGACGTACAGCCTGGTGAAAATGTGCACACGGTCGTATTACACACACATAAATACACTTACACACACACACACACACACACACACACACATACACACATACACAGATAAATAACGCACATATACACTCGCATAAACACAGATACACACACACAAACACACACACACACACACACAAACACACACACACAAACACACATACACTCATATACACACACACATACACACACACACACACACATACACACACACACACACACACACACATACATACACACACACACACATACACACACACACACACGCACACACATACATACATACACACACACACATACATACACACACACACATATACACACACACACACACACACACACACACACACACAGCCTAAAGTTTATATATCAAAATAATAATTTAATTAATGGGTTAAATGTAATTATATATGTACGTACGTTAATTATGAGATGTAAATTTAATTATTATTTTTATCAACTATGAACGTCTGGTGTAAATAATATGAGTTTTTTAATTCACTATAGCAATTAATTAAGAATCGTTTAATATATTGGGGAAATTAATATATTTTTGTATTTAGTATTTTTTTAATATAATTGAAACTTAAAAAAAAATTAATTTAGATGCTTACTTGACCATATAACTGAGGCGGCGAGTGACCTGATGTCCCTAGTGATCGCCATTGACCCGTGTTGACGTCACACGCTTCTACCTGGCTACTCAGAAGACTGCCAAAGGGAAAACTTGTGCCGCCCATCATGAGGAGATCACGCCCACAGGAGGTGAGACAATGGGACACACTGGCCTTGGGCGTATTGGATGGGTCGGATATTTGCTCCCATTCACACGTTGATAGATTAAGTCGCCATGTCTGGAACACAAGACAAACCTGCATTAGTCTGTCAGAAATATGGACAAATATTCAACGAAAACTAACCTAAACCCAACCAAACCCAACCAAACCCAACCAAACTAAACCAACCATGTAGAGACTAGTTCAGGCTACCTCATTAACTAACTACCTACCTATTAAAACATGAATTGGTCATTAATAAAAACAAAGTAATGGTTTTTTTTATTGGTCAGATTCATAGAAATATTTTATAATCTGGTGAATTATTGATGACGACATGACTTGAGGAAAGACGTTAAGTGGTTGAATTATCTGTTAAATGGTTGAATTATCTGTTAAATGGTTGAATTATCTGTTAAATGGTTGAATTATGTTAAATGGTTGAATTATGTTAAATGGTTGAATTATCTGTTAAATGGTTGAATTATCTGTTAAATGGTTGAATTATCTGTTAAATGGTTGAATTATCTGTTAAATGGTTGAATTATCTGTTAAATGGTTGAATTATCTGTTGAATGGTTGATGAAATAGCTGAAGAAGTTGTCCATACGTGAGCCATCGTGGGTACAGTCACTTAATGCGATTAAGTTGGACTCACGGACGTTTAGTAATTTTTCTTTTAATGAATAAACTATATGTTAATGGGTAATTAAAACGCTTACTCACACACACACACTCTCACACACACACACACACACATTTCTTGAGGTGCGGTATATAGTTTTCAGAGCTCGTGAACATTAACCTAACCTAACTTATTTAAAAGGGATTTTTTTTAACACACTAACGCTACCTGAGGGTGGGGTTAGGTTAACGTTCGGTTAACGCTAGGTTAGGTTAGGTTAGTAAGGTTAGGTGTAATAGGCCCCTGTCTCATCAACAGAACGTATTATATAAATGGGTCAATACATCTGATATTATATTCAGATTCACCACCCTGTAACTTTCCACTGTCTATGAGTAAGACATGAGATTGACACGTGAGCGGGCAACTTACCCAAGAGGGCGGGACCCATAGCTCAGCATTCCTGTAAGCACACACTGCGATGCCCCTAAGCTTCAGTAGCTCACCACAACTCATATCGTAAGGACGTGACCTAACGTTTATCATACATAAACACCGTCCCTTTCTCATTCACTCCTAGACAGTGAGACTTACGGTTGATATACACTCAGGAATTATATATACAACCTTTTATAATAAAACAAAGGAACTACCGTTTGGGTTTCGTTACTTAAAACCCATGGCAACACTTCATCTACGGCTGTTGATGCTATCTTGTCCAAACAGGTTCACCCCCCACCACCCATCCCCCACCACCCCCACCACCCATCCCCACCACCCCCCACCACCCCCACCACCCATCCCCACCACCCATCCCTGCCCCCCACCACCACCCATCTCCCTGCCCCCACCACCACCCCCACCACCCATCAACCCCCACCACCACCCACCACCCATCCCTCACTCACCCATCCCCACCACCCATCCACTCTCCACCACCCACCACCCATCCACCACTCCATCCACCCCCGCCTCCTCACACTTCACCATTCCATCCCCACCACCACCTAAGTTACGTAAACAGTGATGGTAGTGGTACCAGTGGTGGTGTATTAGCCCAGGTCAGGTTGAGTCAATGCTGATGTTCCACACACACACACACACACACACACACACACACACACACACACACACACACACACACACACACACACACACACACACACACACATACATACATACACACACACACACACACACACATACACATACACATACACATACACACACACACTACACTACACACATATGTAAGTATCTCTCATTCTATATGTTTCTGTCGCAAATGAATAATAGTGAAGGTATTATTATTATTGTTACTATTATTATTATTATTATTAGTAGTAGTAGTAGTAGTAGTAGTAGTAGTAGTATTGTTATTTACGTTAGGTTAGTGTCCGGGTGATTAATCTTCAGGTCAGATAAACTAAGGTGTCTAAGTAATTAAAATTTCCTCCTTAAATATTATTAAAATAAAAATTAATTGCTTAAATACATGTGTTGTCAAGGGCGGATCCAGGGGGTCGTGAGGGTGCGGACCCCCCTTATATAGTAAAAAGTAATAACTATTGACCTGAAAATGTCTCTTACTATCAAGTGCACATGGCTTCAAAATGGCTTCAATATTGGCCTGATAAAAAAAAAAAAAATCTGGGGGAGGGGACAAAAAAACCTTATCTTGATGGGCTCCCTTTTTCTCGCCATGTCCCCCCACTCAAAACTTCCTGGACCCCCTCTTTTGATATTCCTGGATCCGCCCCTGGTTATATAAGTGAACAGGTATAGTGGAGGGGACAGACAGACAGGGGAAGAGGTGTGTGGGAGACAGACAGACAGGGGAGGAGGTGTGTGGGAGACAGACAGACAGGGGAGGAGGTGTGTGGGAGACAGACAGACAGACAGGGGACGAGGTGTGTGGGAGACAGACAGACAGGGAAGAGGTGGGGAGACAGACAGACAGACAGGGGAGGAGGTGTGTGTGTGGGAGACAGACAGACAGACAGGGGAGGAGGTGTGTGTGGGAGACAGACAGACAGACAGGGGAGGGAGGTGTGGGAGACAGACAGACAGGGAGGAGGTGTGTGTGGGAGAGAGACAGACAGACAGGGGAGGAGGTGTGTGGGAGACAGACAGACAGACAGGGGAGGGGAGGTGTGTGTGGGGAGACAGACAGACAGGGAGGAGGTGTGGGGAGACAGACAGACAGGGAGGAGGTGTGGGGAGACAGACAGACAGACAGGGGAGGGTGTGTGGGAGACAGACAGACAGGGGAGGAGAGGTGTGTGGGGACAGACAGACAGACAGACAGACAGGGGAGGAGGTGTGTGGGAGACAGACAGACAGACAGACAGGGGAGGAGGTGTGTGGGAGACAGACAGACAGACAGGGGAGGTCATCCAACTGCTGACAGCTGCAGGTTTGATTCTGTCTCACGTGGATTGGTTCGTCTAGCCACGTGTACTGTTGAGTTTCTACTTTTTGTGGTTAGTTTAGGTTAGTGTTAGGTTAGGAAAAGTTATGTTAAGTTAAGGTTGAATAAGATGAGAGAGAGTGTGTGTGTGTGTGTGTGTGTGTGTGTGTGTGTGTGTGTTAGTCATATGGCCTTGGGTCACTAAGTGAATGGTTGAGGCTTGTGGCTGACTGTAGCTACGTCCCCGGGTTAGGGTAGGTTAGTGCTGGGTACGTTAGTGTTGGGGTAGGTTAGTGTTGGGTACGTTAGTGTTGGGGTAGGTTAGTGTTGGGGTAGGTTAGTGTTGGGGTAGGTTAAGTTACGATAACTTGGGTTAGGTTTGATTTGGTTAAGTTAGGTTAGGTTACGTTTGATAAAAGTAAGTAACTGTTATATTATTAATCCCTGAGTTAAAATTTATAATAAATAACTCATGTTAAGGAGCACGGGACGACGCCACACCCAGTGCCGGATTTAGAACTGTGGAGGCCCATGGGCAGCCTCTTGTGGAGGCTCCCGTCATTATAAGAGGGTGGGGTGGTGAGTGAAGCGAGCCTAAACATCTGAGAGTTCCGGGGGGCGCTGTGAGCCTCCCGGGAAATTTTTGAAATCTGAACACTTCTTTGGAAAATTTTGAAGCCATATGCAGTTATATTGAGGAAATTAGAACATTAGTTCATTTTTAATCAATATATGTTTGTGTAATTCTAAATATATTATTAGCAACACACAGAAGCATTCATAAAAAATATACGGTTCATAAGAAAACCAGGTAGTCATGAATTTCACGGAGTAGCTAGCCTAATTTCTATCACGCTTCTTGCTGAACATAGTTTTACGTGATGGAATAGATAAACATGAATTTTAAAGCATGAAAAAAAAATAATCCAAATGAATAAACAAATAAATAAAATATTGTAACATATGGAGTGCCCCAGATTGTGGAGGCCCCAGGGCAGCTGGCCACTTTGCCCACTTCCTAAATCCGGCCCTGGCCACACCAACACTCACTGGTGATAAAGCCTTCAAGCGAGTATGTAAACAAAAAACACCCGCCATAATACATCTTTTATGGCGAGGATTTACGCGGGAAAAGTTGATGTATATAGAGGGATTTTGGCGCGTATCAAAATGCTCATAGATTATATACTTATTTATACAGCCGTGTGTGTGTGTATGTGTGTGTGTTAAAGCCTTGAAATTATGTCCGTAGTAAGTGGAATCAGACGGTCACTCGGCAGGTAAGGTAGATGGTGGTCCCTGACTTGAAAAACAGGTTTAAACCAATGGCCTCCTTAGTCGCCCGGTTATGTATGGCCACTATACTGTGTATGGCCACCACCACCAACAGTAGTCTGGCCACTTTTCTTATCAATATAGTAATTAATATTCTTATACACATAATGGGGGTATATATGTTTGAGTAACTGTTTCTTCATGTGTGGGATATTGATGAGGCTATGTTGGCTATGTTGGCTATGTCGGCTATGTTGATCCAGAAAAGAATTTTACTTAACACGGGAGATAGAGAGGTGGTGGTGTTGTGGTGTTACGTAATGTAGTGGTAGTGGTGGTGTTGTGGTGTTACGTAATGTAGTGGTAGTGGTGGTGTTGTGGTGTTACGTAATGGTGGTAGTGGTGGTGTTGTGGTGTTACGTAATGTAGTTGTAGTGGTGGTGTTACATGGTGGTGGTGGTGGTGGTGTTGTGGTGTTACATAATGGTGGTAGTGGTGGTGTTGTGGTGTTACATAAATGGTGGTAGTGGTGGTGTTGTGGTGTTACATAATGGTGGTAGTGGTGGTGTTGTGGTGTTACATAATGGTGGGTAGTGGTGGTGTTGTGGGTGTTACATAATGGTGGTGGTGTTGTGGGTGTTTAATAATGGTGGTGGTAAAGTTGTGGTGTTACATAATGGTGGTGGTGTGCTAGGTGTTGCTATAATGGTGTGGTGGTGGTGTTGTGGTGTTACATAATGGTGGTAGTGGTGGTGTGGTGGTGTTAGCTGTAATGGTGGTAGTGGTGATGTTGTGGTGTTACATAATGGTGGTAGTGGTGGTGTTGTGGTGTTACATAATGGTGGTGATGTTGTGGTGTTACATAATGGTAGTGGTGGTGTAGTGGTGTTGCAATGGTGGTAGTGGTGGTGTAGTGGTGTTACGTAATGGTGGTAGTGGTGATGTTGTGGTGTTACATAACGGTGGTAGTGGTGGTGTAGTGGTGTTACGTAATGGTAGTGGTGATGTTGTGGTGTTACGTAATGGTGGTAGTGGTAGTAGTGGTGTTACGTAATGGTGGTAGTGGTGGTGTAGTGGTGTTACATAATGGTGGTAGTGGTGATGTTGTGGTGTTACATAATGGTGGTAGTGTGGTGGTGTGTGGTGTTACGTAATGGTGGTGTGTGATGTTGTGGTGTTACGTAATGGTGGTAGTGGTGGTGTAGTGGTGTTACGTAATGGTGGTAGTGGTGGTGTAGTGGTGTTACGTAATGGTGGTGATGTTGTGGTGTTACATAATGGTGGTAGTGGTGGTGTAGTGGTGTTACGTAATGGTGGTAGTGGTGGTGTAGTGGTGTTACATAATGGTGGTAGTGGTGGTGTAGTGGTGTTACGTAATGGTGGTAGTGGTGGTGTGTAGATGAGATTATGCACTAACTTAACCTAACCAAACGGAGGAGACAAACAGACAGACAGACACTAAATGAATCTGACATTGACCCCCCCCTCAATGCTCCTTGCGTGCCATGCGGGTGGTTAAGCTACTGTTACTTCCATCACCAAGGTTACTGAGTACGGGACCTACAAACTGTCTCTTGTGTTTGTGTAACTTTTTTGTTACTTTTTGTTATTTTTGGTTACGTTTGTTACATAAGAACACAAGAACATAAGAAAGTGGGATACTGCAGGAGGCCGACTGGCCCATACAGGGCAGATCCCTTTCACACCCATCCCAGCACTTCCATGTGCCTATCCAACTTCGTCTTGAAGCTCCCTAGCGTCCCCGATCCTACTATAGCACTCGGTAGCCTATTCCACATATCCACAACTCTATTACCAAACCAGTGCTTGCCTAATCCTTTCTGAATCGGAATTTATCTAATTTAAAGCCATTTGTTCTAGTTATTTCGTTAGTTACTGAGCTCAGAACATCTTCCATTTTTACCCTTGTTAATCCACTTACCCACTTGTACACCCTATCATATCTCCCTAACTCTATACGCTCTCTCTAATGAATGTAAGCCTGCCAGTCTTTCTTCATATGGAAGGTTTCAATATTATGGATCATTTTTGTCATTCTTCTTTGTGCTCTCTCCAAAGAATCTATGTCCATTCTATAATAAGGACACCAGAACTGAACCGCATAATCCATGTGTGGCCTCACTAATGCTAGGTAAAGTTTCAAGATAACGTCAGCAGTTCTGTTACTCACAGACCTAGATATGAACCCAAGAATCCTGTTTGCCTTGTTGCGAACGCTAATACATTGTTTTCTAGGTTTCAAGTCGTTGCTAACAAATACACCTAGATCTTTTTTCACAAACTGAGTTTTCTATTTCCGTGTTACCTAGTTTATACTTAACGTTTGTATTCGTCTTCCTATCTGTAGTACCTTGCATTTATCAGTATTAAAATTCATTTGCCAGTCTACTGACCACTCATAAGGTATCTAGATCTCTTTGAAGGTGTTCAAAGTCACTGTCTGAATTTATCACTCTCCCCATTTTGGTATCATCTGCAAATTTACTAATCCTACTAGTTATGCCTAAATCAAGATCATTAATGAATATAACAAACAGCAGAGGCCTAATACAGATCCTGGGGAACTCCTTTTGACCGCACCCAGTCTGACTTTAATCCATTTATGCTGACTCTTTGTTTCCTACCAGTTAACCATGACCTAATCCATTTTAATACTGATCCACCTATTCCATGTGCTTCTACCTTCCTTATCAATCTCTCATGAGGGACTCTATCGAATGCTTTACTGAAATCTAAATAAATTATATCATATGACTTATCATTATCTACCTTCATATACTTCTGAGAAAAAAGCTAAGCAAATTTGTGAGACAAGAACGTCCCTGGGTGAACCCGTGCTGAGAAGAATGAATTAAGTTGAATGTTTCAAGGTGGCTTCTGATTTTTGTAGCAATAATTGACTCTAGCAACTTGCCTATGATTGAAGTGAGACTAATGGGACGGTAATTTGATGCTATTGATTTATCACCCTTTTTGAAAATCGGAACTACATTTGCAAGTTTCCAAGCTTCTGGCACTAGGCCCGATTCTAATGACTTATTAAATAAAACTGCTAATGGATTACTCAACTCTTCTCTACATTCTTTTAATATTCTAGCATATACCTCGTCTGGACCAGGCGATTTATGAGGCTTCAGTTTGTTAATTACTTTAAGCACATCATTACTAGTAATATTGATATTCATCAACATATTTTCTATACTGTCGTTATATACCTTATGAACTTCTGGAAACTGTGCTAGGTTTTCATTTGTGAATACGGAGCGAAAATGACTATTTAACGTACTACACATTTCTAACTCATCATCAGTCATTTCTCCTGTCGTAGTTTTAAGGGGACCTATTGTATCTCTAACCTTTGATTTATACAGTTGATAAAAAGCTTTGGGTTATTTTTCGATTCGTTTGCTACCTTGATTTCATAATTTCTCTTTGCTTTCCTAATTTCTGTTTTTACCTGTCTTGTTAGGTTCTGATAGTAACCAAGTAAGTGATTTTCGCCTTTCTTAACTTTTCTATATACTCCTTTCTTTTTCCCTAGAAGATATAGGAGTCTATTATTCATCCATTTTGGTTGGTTCCGTATCGATCTGAATTTTCTTTTAGGGATGTGTTTATTTTGGGCATTATTGATTGTCGCAATAAATTGTTCATAAGTAGCTGCTAAATTAAATTCGGGGTTATCCCGTCCTAAGTTGACAGTTTCCGGAGGTGTGGGGGGATTAATCTTTTGACCATAGGGTCATCCCTTAGGTCTCTCCTTATGCTACCGTAATTAGCCTTCCTAAAATCCGGGATCAAGGCCGAATTTTCCTTCTTCCTGCCATCCCATATTATGTTAAAATATATGGCTTTATGATCACTGTTTCCTAGTTCATCTCCAATCCCAACATCTTTTACTAAATTTTCATTATTACTGAGAACTAAATCGAGGATATTATTTCCTCTAGTGGGCGAGTTTATGAATTGATATAAAAAACTATCCTGTACTACTTCTAGAAAATCTTCAGGTTCACTATCGCTAAGTTGATTTTTCCAATCTATGCCTGAAAAGTTGAAATCGCCTAGAATACATACATTGTTTCTATCAGATGCCTTCTTTATTTCCTCCCATAGCAATTTACCATCGTTCCTACTCAAATTAGGTGGTCTATATATAACACCAATGACTACGGATTCACTGCCCTCACCAATCTCTACCCAAATACTTTCATTGTCGCTATTTGTTTTAATGTTTGATTTATTGCAGCTTTTTAATGACACCCTGATATACACTGCTACACCGCCACCTCTCCTTCCCACTCTGTCAAATTTAAACAGGTTATATCCTGGCATATGAAATTCTGCTAAAAAATGCTTGCTGTTTGAATTTATCCATGTTTCCGTTATTGCAATTATATCTATGTTCTCTTTACTAACAATGGCCCTGAGCTGGTCCATTTTGTTACACAGGCTTCTACTATTAGTATAATAAACACTCAATATGTTTCTTCCGTTTCTATCTGTTTTACATTTATTACTTTGATGTTTGTTATTATGACTAACTATATTTTCAGCATTATCTACTTCTGTTTCACTACTTCCCAGGACTTTCACTACTTCCCAGGACTTTCACTACTTTTTGTTACTTTTTTTTTTACTTTTTTTTTTACTTTTTGTTACTTTTTTACTTTTTTTTTACCTTTTGTTAATTTTTGTTACTTTTTGTTATTTTCTTATGTTTTTGTTACGTTTGTTATTTTTTGTTACTTGTATCTTTATTTCATTTCTTCTTCTTCTTTTCCTCCTCCCTATTCCCCCTCTTCCTTCCCTTCCTCTCTCTCTTCCCCTCCTCCTCCTCTATTTCCCCTTCCTTCTCTTCCTTCTTCCCTTCCTCCTTTACGTTACTTTCTTCTCCTCTTCCCCTCCTCTTCTTCCTTCCTCCTCCCTATTTCCTCCCCTTCCCCTCCTCTCCCCTTCCCTTCCTCCTTCTTCCCCCCTTCCTCCCCCCCTTCCTCCTCCTTCCCCCCTTCCTCCTTCCTTCCCCCCTTCCTCCCCCTTCTCCCACCTCCCCACCAGTACTCCCCAGGGGCACTCACCTCCTGAAGGGGTCCGCAGGATGGGTTGTAGCCGCCCACACAGTAGAGGAAGGACTCGCTGCAGGATATCCTGTGACCGCTGCGTCCTGTAGGTGTGTGTCCTGCAGGATAACGGTGATAGGAAGAGATTAACCTGCAGGCGGTGGTCTTAACCTGCCCCTTGTCTCCTGACCTGACCTGACCTAACCAACATTGACAACACCTCGTAGTAGTCAGCCATCACACAGGGAGGTACTACCGCCTGGGAACATAATGTGTTGTCTAATGGTGGACCCTGCTGCCATATGTGACCAGGTTGATCATCTGCCTCATTTACACACAATTGTAGGGTCTCACTTGTTTCTCTTGCCATTGACAACAACATACATATAGTGTTTCTCTCTTGATCTTTTTTTTTCTTTATTTCTTTATGGTTATTTATTATTATTATTTTTATTATTATCATTATTATTATTATTATTATTATTATTATCTTATCTTATTATTTTATCATTTTTATTTTTGTATTTTTACTATAAATTTTACGTATCTGAATTATTATTATTATTATTATTATTATTATTATTATTATTATTATTATTATTATTATTATTATTATTATTATTATTATTATTATTATTATTATTATTATTATTATTATTATTATTATTATTATTATTATTATTATTATTATTATTATTATTATTATTATTATTATTATTATTATTATTATTATCGCCCCCCAGGCCCCATGTGGGTGAGTGACCTGTGCCCGGGTGGGATAATACCTGTAAAAAAGAAAAGAAAAGCTTGTATAGGTTAAGTGTGTGTGTGTCAGGACGTGTTTGTGTCAGCAGGACTGCCACTCATACTCACCCTCCGCTGACCACGTTTGTACTTCATCCATGAACCTGTCTTGCATGCTGACGAAGGCCTGACACCTGTTGACGATGACTTGACACCTCCTGACGACGACTGACACCTCCTGACGACGACTGACACCTCCTGACGACGACTGACACCTCCTGACGACGTGAGTGACTGCTGCTACTGACGAAGACTTTAACCCTTAACAGCGTGGGTTATTCACGTGTCCAGGTACTGTCCCCAGGTACTGTCACTCGGTCACTGGCTAATTAAACGTGTGTATCCCCAAGTACTGTCTCTTGGACACTGGCTTCAACACACATCCTACCGAGCTTTATAAACTCATGACAGGTGTTGAGTTGCCAACATAGAAATTAATTAAGACCGATTAATTAGTTTACCTGTCTACTGAAGGGCTAGTTTTCACCTTAATTAGTTATTGTTAGCTCTTTCTTTTAGGGTTTTTTTTGTAAATTGAATTTTATCTTTTTGGTGTAAATTTGTGGTGGTTAGCGGTGGTGGTGGTTGGTTGTGAGTGTTGGTGGTGGTAGTGTGGCAGTCAGGTTAGGCTAGGATAGGTTAGTGTTAGGTTAGATTAGTACTAAGTTAGATTAGATTAGGTTACAATTAGGTTACAGTTAGGTTATACTTAGGTTAAGCAGTATTAGTGTTAGGTTAGGTTAGAGTATTTAGTGCATTATTATCGGCTGTGGTGTTCGAGTGGTTAAGAAGATGGACTTGAAATCCATTGGGTTTTTCCCGCACAGACTCGAATTCTGTCCGCAGCGATGTGTACTGAAGGAGGCCCACCAGGAGACCTCCCTTACTGTAGGTTCTGCTGTAGTTTTATACCAAGGTGGGTGTTGGTTTACCTGAGGAAGTCCTCTAACCTAACCTGTGTAACCTAAGCTGTACTTATTATTGTTATTATTATTATTATTATTATTATTATTATTATTATTATTATTATTATTATTATTATTATTATCAAACTCCACGACTGAAGTTTTATGACTTATTTTAAGATTGATAATAATCAACTATGTGTATATTAAAACTTGTCCTTTGAAGTATTATAGTGTATATCATGTATAAATAATGTATACACGAGAAGAAGTATACTCAGGTCTATTAAGGGACAATATAAATTAAAATGTCCTTTTTAATCTCTATTATATTATATAATTGTCATTATCATTGTCATTCCTAAAAGATATAATATAATACCATGATTGCTGAACTAGTAATCCGTTTTCTGTAATTTAATGATTAATGTTATCATTTTAGTTTTATAACCGACTTAAATCCAGTGACAATGTTGTTCTTTTAGCATATGAATAAAAAATAATATATCTCTTGTATGTTATTATTTTGGTGTTTTTATAATTTATTTTTATTTTTAAATTAAATATATTGTAATAGGTATTTGATGATATAATCGTAATATTTTTAAATTATGTTTTTTATGGATAATTAATATGTAAAAGCACGACTGCTATAACCTAGAAGACCATACTGTTCTTTTAGCTTTTGAATAAAACTAAAATATATCTCATTTATGCTCTTACTTTTTTATATGTATAATTTAGTTATATTTAAAAATATATATAATATTATAGATGTTTTATGATAAAATTATAATATGTTTAAATTACATTTTTTATGGATAATTAATATATTAAAGCACGACGACTATGACCTACAAGAACGCCTCCATTGTTTTGTTGACTCGAGGATGTTGACGTGGAGAGCAGTTAGTCGGCTTCATAGAGTGAGTATAATCTTCTCTTTCCTCTATAATTATATCATTCTCGTGTGTTTTGACGTATAATCTGTATTTTATTACACACGATGGAGAGTTATAGGTGTGTTTTGGTGACGTATTAATCGTGATATGGGAGAAATGAGGAGGCAATGTATCGAGGGATTTGTGTGCCTTAGGTTAGGGTAGGGTCTCTTGTCTCCTCTGGGTGTGGTTAGGTTAGGTTAGGTTAGAGATAATTTGCATCAAAATGTTATACTATATAGGGTAAACTAATGAAAACAAAATAGGATTTACTTTAGTGTTTCCTTAATAGTTTTTTTCTTCCAGCCTGTGCTCTCTCACTCACAGACAGGAGACTTGTAACAGAATATAAATTTAGACAATTGTGGATCTATGACTTCATCAAATATAGTTAAAGAGAATTACCTCTCCACATCAGCATGAGATGAACCAGCAGAGAAAATTGTGAAAAGTTTAGGAAATTTTACTGCCAGCATTATCCTCAAAGGTCATGACTGTCTTGTAAAACTCTATAATATTTTAATTTGTATATTAATAACGTCAGGTAACATACAGCAGACCAAGCACTGCCACTCATCATCTAGCATACGAGTATGGGGGTACTTCCTTAAGTACACATACATACATACATACATACATACATACATACATATAGTACATACATACATACATATAGTACATACATACATACAGTACATACATACATACATACAAACAGCTCCTGATTTATGTACTGTACAGCCCTGTAAATGTATTCAACGCATATTATATCATTATGTCTAAATCACATGTAAGTCTGTATATTTTCAGCCACCGGCTGCAACTCTATTAATAAACCGTTTATTATTATTATTATTATTATTATTTTTATTAATACAGTATTATTGTTATTATTATTATTATTATTATTATTATTTTTATTAATACAGTATTATTATTATTATTATTATTATTATTATTATTATTACACACACACATCAGAAGGTGATTAAAGACAGTGGTTAAAAACATCCAAAATTTTTAACAATAATGTGATGACCTAAACTACCCTGACCTAAATTACCCTGACCTGAAACCACCATTAAAAATCGACATAATCAAACAATCACCGCTGGTTCCGGTCAAAGAGCCACTGGTTATTTGACCGGACATCCCGGTCAAATAAGCACTTTAAAGTATTTCAGTAAGTTGTTTAAATTCTACATCTGTGAAATTATTGGTAACTTTTCTGAACACTGAAATGAGTTAGTTATTAGATTAAGTTCTGTTCCTTATTTTTCCGAACACTTAAATGGGTCGGTCGTTACATTAATTTCCGTTCCAAAAATTTTCCGAAGACTTTAATCTATCGTTCGTGGCATCGACAATAATAATAATAATAAGTTCCAACGTTCTTCCAGGTACAAGGACAATGTTCTCCCTCTTCTACGGACTCTACAAGTACCTGTTCAAGAAGGACGAGTTTTTTGTACTCATACTCGGACTGGATAATGCTGGCAAAACTGTGAGTATGGTTAGGTTAGGTTTTGGTTAGGTTAGGTTTTGGTTAGGTTAGGTAGTCTGCCACCATTGTTTTAGCTGTGATAGAATGACAAACTATCTCACGTGTTAACATTCACCTGAGCATCCACCAGGGGTTCGTATTTAAACCTACCACATCCACCAGGGGTTCATATTTAAACCTACCTCATCCACCAGGGGTATAAGCAATGGGTCCCTATCTAAATGGGTTATATGCCAGAGTGCCAAATAAGGTCAATATTTGGCACAGGCAGTTGATGATAGTGCCACCAGTCATATCCTCAGCTGCAAAAGGAAGTGTAAATTGTAAACATTCATCAAGTATAGTCGTGGATTCATCTTGGAGAGGAATTTTTTTGGGCTTTAACATTCTCAACATTCTCGATCATTCCTCAACATTCTTCACCATTTTCAATCATTTCTCAACATTTTTCGATAATTTTCAACCATTTCTCAACATTCTCTTAACATTTCCTCCCAACATTCCTCCCCAAATCCTCCCACCATCCTCCCCAACATTCTCAACATTCTCTCAACATTTTCCAGACATACCTCGAAGCTGCTAAAACCAAATTCACCAGAGGCTACAAAGGCCTAAGCCCCAGTAAAATCACCACAACTGTCGGCCAGAACGTCGGAGGGATAACTTACGCAGGAATCAAGCTCAGTTTCTGGGACCTAGGCGGACAGGAGGAGCTGCAGCCGTTGTGGGAGAAGGTAGGTATGGGGGGGGGGGTGAAGGAGGCAAGCTTGTTTTTCTATCCTAAATTAAATATTATTTTTTTATATAATTTAGATTGTTTTATAAATTAGATTCTGTTCCATACCCTTAGCTAGATTCTGTTCCACACCCTAAGCTTGATTCTGTTTCACACCCTTAGCTTGATTCTGTTTCACACCCTTAGCTTGATTCTGTTCCAAACCCTAAGCTAGTTTCTGTTCTACACCCTAAGCTAGATTCTGTTCCAAACCCTAAGCTAGATTCTGTTCCAAACCCTAAGCTAGATTCTGTTCCACACCCTCAGCTAGATTCTGTTCCACACCCTAAGCTAAATTCTGTTCCAAACCCTAAGCTAAATTCTGTTCCACACCCTAAGCTAGATTCTGTTCCAAACCCTAAGCTAGATTCTGTTCCACACCCTAAGCTAGATTCTGTTTAACCCTGCTAGATTCTGTTCCAAACCTAAGCTAGATTCTGTTCCAAACCCTAAGCTAGATTCTGTTCCACCCCCTGCTAGATTCTGTTCCTAACCCTAAGCTAGATTCTCCCGTGGTAGTCTGACGCTCATTTGTTATTGTTTTCGTTTCAGTATTTTAAGTGCCACGCAGTGATTCACATGGTGGATTCGGCGGATAGGGAACGGATGGATGAGTCGAAGGAGGCTTTTGGTGAGTTGGTTAGGTGGTGTGATTCCTACCGGTAGTTAGTTATAGTGGTTGTTAGGTAGGTATGGTGGTTGTTAGTTATGGTAGTTAGTTTCCATATTTTACACCATATAAGACACACGGCCATATAAGAGACACGGTCATATAGGAGACACGGTCATATAAGAGACACGGTCATATAGGAGACACGGTCATATAAGACACCAGTTAATGTGAGCAATACATACAAGTAATAAACCATATGTAAGTAACAATAATAACTACAGCGTCGCCAAACCAGTAAATAAAAGCCAACTGAAGGACTAAATATGGTAAAGCCTCCACGAACGACGGTAATGTGGCCTCAAATATTGCAGTGTGAGGTGAGTCGTCTTATTGCGATTCATTAATGACCATTAAAATAAAGCAGTAATAATGAGATGTGTTCCCAAGTGTGACTTTTTCATATCTTTTGTGTGGCTTTTTACCCTTCTCTCCCCCCCCAAAACAATACAATTAAATAATGTTTCTGAATGCACCTTATACAATATAAATGAATAATAATTTGGTCACACAAGAGGAGATGGGACGCCATTTTTTCGTTTGTGTTTACAGCTGGGAGTCTGAGACGATAGTTCTACACGAGAATATGAAGAAAATAAGACCCTGGTTGTAGCTGTAGTAAAATTAATGTAAAAAAAATTAATATACAGGCAGTCCCTGACTTACAACGGGGTTAGGGACCCAAATCCAGGTTGTAAGTAGAATTGGTCGTAAGTAGAATTGGTCGTAAGTCGAAAATGCAAAAAATAATACATAGAAAATCTAAAATGAAATACAGTAAAGTAAAAGTAATCAATAATGAAAAATGAATACAGTGTTTCTGTGCACTTACCTTTAATGTAGTCAGCTGAATGCACACGGGGCCCCCATAATATTTTCATTAAACATGTAGACTACATTAATTGGATAAAGCAGTGGAGGAGACAGGGCTGGGTGGGTCATCAAATTCACTTTCTTCAGACAGGCTAACGTACTTGTTGAAGGTATTGGATCATCTTTAGGGAGTGAAGAGGCAGCAGTGGTGGGGCGTGAGGAGGCAGCAGTGGAGGACTTCTTAAAATATATGTCCAATTTAGACTGCACATTTTGCCTTTTCTTTTCGTTGTAAATCTCCCTGTAAGAGCAAGTGCATCTTGGACCAGTCTGTCAACTTTTGTAAAACACTCAACATTTTGATCCATTTCTTCAAACATTTGCATCCCCTTATTAATAGTACCAAATGCCTCTGCCTTGTCCTTCAAAATTGTTGATATCATCGCGTTAAATGGTTGCTACCGTTTTTCCATTTTCATATTGCATTATTATTTTAATTTACATCTCAAAAGTAATTGACTGTCTCAGCACCACGAGAACTCTCACTTTTACGCTTGCCAGCCATTTTAAAGGGAATTATAAAATTTTTTGTCGGTACACAGCGCGATCACTAACAACAACAACGGCCAAACACCAACTGAGCGCACTATGGCGTGGATGGTGTACACCACGAGGCGGCTCAGCCCACGCTGTCGTACGGGACAGAAACGTTTCAGTACTAGAAAATACGTAATTTGAAAAATATTTTATACGACTACGGCGGTCGGGTGGTCGTAAGTCGAGGAGTACTCCCGCCCCCTGTACCTGAAGGATAATAATATCTTTACCCATAATGCAATATTGTCACCAACTGATATATTGTTTTTTTCTATTATGTCTGAGTTAATATAAAAATAAAATATAATCAATTTTTTTCTGATTTTTAATTAATTTTAAGCCATTGAATATAATTGTCATTGGGTAAATTGGCTATTAAAATTGTGTCCCTGTAGTGAAGATGTTCCTGGTGATAGTCTATTAACTACTTGTGTATAGGGTCCCTGTCTCTATTGAATAAAATCATCTACTTAACCTAACCAAACCCTAACCTAACCCTAACAAAAATCTAACCTAATCCTAACCTAAATCTGACCCAACCCTAACCTAACCCTAACCAAAATCTAACCTAACCAACCCTAAACTAACCTGATTTCTCTTACGTTACAGACAGAATGATATCGAGCGAGAACCTGTCCGGCGTCCCTCTACTGGTTCTGGCCAATAAACAAGACATACCCGAGTGTATGGGTGTACGGGAGGTCAAACCGGTCTTCAACCAATCGGCCGATCTGATTGGCCGGAGAGACTGTATGGTTATGCCAGTCTCGGCTTTGACTGGGTGAGTTAAAAGAGGGTTTGTTTTTATTTATGGTTTGGGGTAGTGTAGTGTAGTGTAGTGTAGTGTAGTGTAGCATAGTGTAGTGTAGGGTAGGATAGAGTGTAATGTAGCATAGCATGGTGTAGAAATGCATAACCTACAATAATCATTTCATATGACTTTCACCCTTATGTCCAGGTTACCAATTGACTCTTTTGATTTACCCAGGGAACACAGGAGAGCTTAGGGGGCAATACAGTGCAAGACATAACCCATTCCAGGGGACTATGGCTCTTAGCGGGTTATGTTCCAGAGGTGCTGAATCGTGGTGGTGATTAGAGAGAGAGAGAGAGATAGAGAGAATAGATAGCTTAACGATCGTACAGGAATACCTCGTCGTTAGCAACTCCCACTTACCGGTAGTTGGATATTTTTACAACACTATTCATTATTATCAAAGTAAACTCCTATTATTGCAGCTCTGTGTTTGTTTACATTCGACAGAAGTAAACTCACAATAATAAACATATTATAGAATCAAAATAAAACAATATATTTAAACAAATATCTCAATGTTATGATTTGCGGGATTGTTTATATGTGATATCTCCGGGTACGAGAGATTTCTGGGTTGTTAGACGACTCTCTCCAACCTGGAAAAATAACATTCCCTTTCCCCAGAAATTTCTGAGTAATGGGGAATTTTTTATTTCAATTTCCGGAAAATTTGCCCCGTGGAAAATCCTCCCAAAGCCGGAATTTTCTTAAAAATTCCGGCTTTGGGAGCGATTTTGCGAGAGTTCCATATTTGAGGGATTCTGGGTAATGGAGAGATTACTGTAGTTTGATATATCCAAATAATACAATAAAATAACTACAATAAAATACAGTAACTACAACAAAATCAGTGTAGATGTGTGTGTAATAATAATACTAATAATAATAATAATAATAAACGGTTTATTAATAGAGTTGCAGCCGGTGGCTGAAAATATACAAACTTACATTTGATTTAGACATAATGATATAATATGCGTTGAATACATTTACAGGGCTGTACAGTACATAAATCAGGAGTTGTTTATTATTTTAACAATAGATGGGATGGTGCTATTCTTATTTCTATCGGTGCGGGCTCTTATGGGCTGAATTTTGTTGTAGTGGCGGACTGCGCGAGGTGGGCGGGGGACTGCCGGTGGCAGGAGGTGGCGATGACGAGGATGGTGCAGTAGTCCACTGCCAAACCTTTCCAGTGCTTGGTGGTGGAGGTCACTGAGGGATGGCATTTCCAGGGTGGAGAGAGTGTTGATGTAGCCGGAGTATTCTGCACCGAGCATGATTCTGCAGGCCCTTTTCTGTACCTTCTCTAGCTGACGTTGTTGGGTGGAGTTGAGAGAAGACGACCAGGCTGGTGACGCATACGTTAGTTTGGGGAGAATAAAGGTGTGTGTGTGTGCGTGTGTGTGTATGGACCATGTTTGTATGTATGTATGTATAAAGTAAATATATACTGTATATGAACCTTGTGTGTATAAAGTAAACATATATATGAACCATGTATGTATGTAGGTATAAAGTAAATGTTTATACATATATATGAATGGACCCAACAGGCTAAGCCATGTTAGACCACACCCCATAGGTCACCTCCAGCTACCAGACCGAGCTGTGTTATTTTTATTTTTCAAACCTCTACCTTAGGACATGATACGTAACTTGATTTATTGTTTCTTTATATTCATACAAGTTTATACAGAATGTGCCAAAGAAACGACCTTATTTTGTCTTCGTGGCACAACCTGTATGATCGATCGTCCGTATGTATGTATATAACTAAAATAATTAATGATCGAACGTATATCTATTGCCTTATGTATGCTGGAGTTGTGTATTGATCGTGGGACGACCTGTACGAACGACCCTGGGACACCTAACGGCCTTGGGGTAATGAAGCGAATATATCGAATTATATCTGGTATTGGGTTATGTTAGTGTTAGGTTAGGTTAGATTAGGTTAGGTTTGGTTAGGCTTGCCTTAGGTTAGGTTATATTAGCATTAAGTTAAGTTAGGTTAAGTTTACTTTACCATAATTAAGTCTACAAAAATAAATCAAGGTCAGACTGAAGATTTTCTATCCACAGGTGACCTTATATCTTACCTGTCACACCTCATAGTTAGCCAGAAGCTTAATCAGAAGCTTAATCCTGATCAAGCTGCATGCAATATCATTATCATCAAGCTGCATGACAATATAATCTAGATATGGATTACAGATCAAATTCCTTTACCAACAACCAATTGATCTAGTTACCCCCTGAAATGACCTCTGACCTGGCACACCTCAGTTAACCAGAAGCTTAATCCTAATCAGGCTGCATGGCAATTTAATCTAGATATGGATTACTGATCAATATTCCTCTCCCAGCTTCGGTACCTGATCCAGTTACAGGCATCCCCCGCGTTACAAAATCCGTAATGCGAAACCTATTTTCTCCTTTACTTCCATTATAAAACTGGAGACGAGTTCGTAAAGAATATTTTCGGCCCCCAAAAAGTAATTCAAGCACTTTTATGAATGTAAATAAACATTTATAAACACATACAATACAGTACATTAAATAATTTATGATATACTGTAATATGAAGAGAAGTACAGTTGGAATAAATAAAAATATTGTTCTGTACTCACCTTTGAGGCTTCTTTTTGCACTCCTGCGGTCACTTCCACTTGATGGCTTCTTTCCAGTCATCTTGAATAAGGGTAATGCACTGTACTGTTCTTACTGTATGTTTGTAAAGGTTAAATCAAACTGCTGGGGTGAGAAACATGAGCGTACACTGGATGTAAACAATGGAGTGACTCCACTTGGTGGAACCAAACACCAAGAAATCCACACCAAACAAATTATAATTTTTAACAAATTTTTTTATTTTATATAGTGATTTTTTTTCTAAATTGTTAAAATTTCCCCAATATCCGTAAGAGCGTATTTCCGGGCAGTATCGCGAAATTATTGGTCATAATTTACAAATTCCATAAGAGCGAAATTCCGCACCCCGGGGTTCCGTAACGCGGGGGATGCCTGTACACCTAAAAGCTAGCAGGGGAATTTTCGATCACGTTTTGTGTTTGTTTATCTATGGAGGTTCAAGCTACTGTCTACGGTCCTAATCTAACCTAACCTAACCTAACACTAACCTAACCTCACATTAGGAAATAAGCTTAAGCAGTTCATGTACTCTTTCTCCCAAGCTGGCGACGTGATCTGTCTTCCAAGCTGGCGATGTGATCTGTCTTCCAAGCTGGCGACGTACTCCCCCCATTACCGGTACTCTCTCTTCTAAGCTTTATTTACAGAGCTGGACCATCAGGAAATAAGCTTAAGCAGTTCGTGTACTCTGTCTTCCAAGCTGTCGGCGTACTCTGTGTTCTAAGCTGGCGACGTACTCTCTTCTAAGCTTTATTTACAGAGCTGGACCATCAGGAAATAAGCTTAAGCAGTTCGTGTACTCTGTCTTCCAAGCTGTCGGCGTACTCTGTGTTCTAAGCTGGCGTGTCTCTCTTCTAAGCTGGCAATGTACTGTCTTCTAAGCTTTATTTACAGGGCTGGACCATCCACCTCACATTAGGAAACAAGCTTAGTGTTCATGTGCTCTGTCTTCCAAGCAGTGGCGTACTCTGTCTTCCAAGCAGTCGACGTCTTGTCTTCTAAGCTTTATTTACAGAGCTGGACCATCACTCACATTAAGAAATAAGCTTAAGCAATTCATGTGCTCTGTCTTCCAAGCAGTTGACGTACTCTGTGTTCTAAGCTGGCGACATACTCTTTCATGGCAATGTTGTCTGCTTTATTTCTGACCATCACCATTAAGAAATAAAAGATTTCATGTGCTCTGTCTTTAAGCAGTCGACGCTCTGTCTTCCAAGCAGTCGGCGTACTCTGTCTTCCAAGCAGTCGACGTACTCTGTCTTCCAAGCAGTCGACGTACTCTGTCTTCCAAGCAGTCGACGTACTCTGTCTTCCAAGCAGTCGACGTACTCTGTCTTCCAAGCAGTCGACGTACTCTGTCTTCCAAGCACTCGGCGTACTCTGTCTTCCAAGCAGCCGACGTACTCTGTCTTCCAAGCTGTCGACATACTCTGTCTTTTACTGTACTCTTGGTGATTTACAGAGCCGGGGTCGACGAGGGCATTGACTGGCTGGTGGAGTGTATCAAGAGAAACACCGACGTTAGACCATCACTCAATCACGACGACACCTGACTCGCCAACTAGCAGTCGCCAACTAGTAGTCACCAACTAGCAATCGTCAACTAGTAGTATAACTCTTCGGAGGAGGGGGGGGGTGGTGGGTGGGTTTACAGCGACCTAAAACTATTGCTGTACTACATATACAAGGGCCAGAGGGGTGGGTGGGTGGGTGGGTGGGTTTTATAGCATAGGAGGTCTTACAGGGGTCAAATCTGTGGCCAATGGAGGGGGTAGGATTAAAAATTAGGTTTGTGGTTTGATTAGGAATATATTTAACCTGAGTTTTGGTTGATAGTTTAATTAGTGATTGTGGGTTAAGTAGTTGTGATCCTTCCAACGAGCCTGTGGTCTGGATTATCAGGTCAACGGCTAAAGTACAGGTCAATGGTGGTTATGGTAATTACCTACTGTACTGTGCTGGATACATGTACTGCTGTACATTTTGTGAAAGATTCCCTTGAACATTTTGTAATTTTATTAATACATCAAATCGTTGTTCACTTATTGAGAGGAATTTTTGACAAGAATTCTCTTTAAAATGTTAAGTGAAATGTTAAGTAGATGGAATTAAAGGTTTTTTAATATTATATAAGAAATTTTTTTTTGGACTAATGGCTGACTGAAAAATTGTTTTTATTTTTACGAATTTATCAACAGAGATGTGAATACAGTGGGGGGGGATGTGCCACGTGAGGGGGGTGTGCCATTTCAGGTGTATCACTTGAGGCAGGCATCACCTGAAGGTGTATCACTTGAGAGAGGTGTCACATCAGTCAGTGTCACATCAAGGGGAGGTTGTCAGACTAGCTATTGACACCAATCGTCTCACTGTATCACATGACACTACTATAATGTGACACATATATTTCACGTTTTATATCATGTTAAAGGACTGAGTTATCATGTTAGAATTAAATCATGTTATTGTATCATGTTATGGGGGATTTAATATAATAATAATGTAATTGGTATTTTTATTCACCATATCTCATGTTAAAGGACTGAGTTATCATGGTAGAATTAAATCATGTTATTATATCATGGGGGATTTAATATAATAATAATAATTTAATTGGTATTTTTATTCACCATATATCCTGTTAGTTCTCAGTTATCATGTTATTATATCATGTACGCCTTTTGGTGGTCACCTGCCATTCATCTGAGAACTTTTACAGATACAAATACTGTACAGTAATAGTAAAAGGCTATTATTAATGTTATTATTACACTATTATTATGGCTATTATTAACACTATTATTACGGCTATTATTTTATTTATTAACACTTATTAATGCTATTATTAACACTATTATTAATACTATTATTTTGTTTACTAACGCTATTATTAAATGCTATTGTTTTATTTACTAACTTGTGCTCTTTGAGACTTGGTAGTTGCAAGGTCGTTAATGGAGGTAGAGAGTGTTGGTTAATGAATGGCTAAAATAATTTGCATGTGTTTAAGGTGAGATTAACCTAACCAAACCTAACACTAACCTAACCAAACCTAACACTAATATAACCAAACCTAACACTAATACTAACCTAACCAAGCCTAACACTAATATAACTACATGTCACTTCCTCATCCATAAAATGTCAAATTAATTCCGATTTTTTTTTTAGGCAGGCTAGAATGTCTCTCTCTCTCTCTCTCTCTCTCTCTCTCTCTCACGATCGACTGTGGTCTGATCTCAAGGGAATAAACTCGAATCCTTCCGCCAGACCGAACTTGGACAGCGTGTACAACATAACACCGATTCCCAGGAGAAGGCCTAGGAAGAACATGCCTATAGCCATACCTGCCATAGCACCTGTAAATGATGAGAGAAACGTTAATTACAGGTAGATGAGATGAATTTACCTGTAGTGTAGTGTAATTAATAGAGGGAAACGTTAATTACAGGTAGATTAGATGAATTTACCTGTAGTGTAATTAATAGAGGGAAACGTTAATTACAGGTAGATGAGATGAATTTACCTGTAGTGTAGTAATTAATAGAGGGAAACGTTAATTACTGGTAGATGAGATGAGTTTACCTGTAGTGTAGTAATTAATAGAGGGAAACGTTAATTACTGGTAGATGAGATGAGTTTACCTGTAGTGTAATTAATAGAGGGAAACGTTAATTACAGGTTGATGAGATGAATTTACCTGTAGTGTAGTAATTAATAGAGGGAAACGTTAATTACAGGTAGATGAGATGAATTTACCTGTAGTGTAGTAATTAATAGAGGGAAACGTTAATTACAGGTAGATGAGATGAATTTACCTGTAGTGTAGTAATTAATAGAGGGAAACGTTAATTACTGGTAGATGAGATGAGTTTACCTGTAGTGTAGTAATTAATAGAGGGAAACGTTAATTACTGGTAGATGAGATGAGTTTACCTGTAGTGTAGTAATTAATAGAGGGAAACGTTAATTACTGGTAGATGAGATAATTACCTGTAGTGTAGTAATTAATAGATGGAAACGTTAATTACAGGTAGATGAGATGAATTTACCTGTAGTGTAGTAATTAATAGAAACGTTAATTAGGTAGATGAGATGATTACCTGTAGTGTAGTAATTAATAGAGGAAACGTTAATTACAGGTAGATGAGATGAATTTACCTGTAGTGTAGTATTAATAGAGCGTTAATTACAGGTAGATGAGATGAATTTACCTGTAGTGTAGTAATTAATGAAGAGCGTTAATTACAGGTAGATGAGATGAATTTACCTGTAGTGTAATTAATAGATGGAAACGTTAATTACAGGTAGATGAGATGAATTACCTGTAGTGTAGTAATTAATGGGGAAACGTTAATTACAGGTAGATGAGATGAATTTACCTGTAGTGTAATTAATAGAGGAAACGTTAATTACAGGTAGATGAGATAGATTTACCTGTAGTGTAGTAATTAATAGAGAAACGTTAATTACAGGTACATGAGATGATTTACCTGTAGTGTAGTTAATGAAACGTTAATTACAGGTAGATTGATGATACCTGTAGTGTAGTAATTAATAGAAACGTTAATTACAGGTAGATGAGATGAATTTACCTGTAGTGTAGTAATTAATAGAAACGTTAATTACAGGTAGATGAGATGAATTTACCTGGTGTAGTAATTAATAGAAACGTTAATTACAGGTAGATGAATGATTTACCTGTAGTGTAGTAATTAATAGAAACGTTAATTACAGGTAGATGAGATGAATTTACCTTAGTGTAGTAATTAATAGAGAAACGTTAATTACAGGTAGATGAGATGAATTACCTGTAGTGTAATAGAGAAACGTTAATTACAGGTAGATGAGATGATTTACCTGTAGTGTAGTAATTAATAGAGAAACGTTAATTACAGGTAGATGAGATGAATTTACCTGTAGTGTAGTAATTAATAGAAACGTTAATTACAGGTAGATGAGATGAATTTACCTGTAGTGTAATTAATAGAGCGTTAATTACAGGTAGATGAGATGATTTACTGTAGTGTAGTAATTAATAGAGGAAACGTTAATTACAGGTAGATGAGATGAATTTACCTGTAGTGTAGTAATTAATAGAGGGAAACGTTAATTACAGGTAGATGAGATGAATTTACCTGTAGTGTAGTAATTAATAGAGAAACGTTAATTACAGGTACATGAGATGATTTACCTGTAGTGTAGTAATTAATAGAGGGAAACGTTAATTACAGGTACATGAGATGATTTACCTGTGCTAATTAGTAACATGGTTTATTTATTATTGTAGGTACCTGGTCTGGTATAGTATAGTAGTTTGGTTGTGTGGGTATACAGCTCAGTGTGTGGGTAGTGTGGGTATACAGCTCAGTGTGTGGGTTGTGTGGGTATACAATTTAGTGTGTATAGACTTGGGGGTGTGGGGCATACAGGTGGTAGTGAGATGGTGTAGTAGTTGGTGTATTTAAAGTATACAGCGGTACACTACAGCGGTGCACCACACTACAGCAGTACACTACACCACACTACACTGCAGCAGTACACTACACCACACTACACCACAGCAGTACACTCGTAGGACAGCTGTAACAATGACTGAATGATGAAAAATGAACATAATGGATAATTTATTTATATGTGTGTGTGTGTGTGTGTGTGTGTGTAGTAGCAATAGTAGTAGTAGTAGCAGTAGTAGTAGCACAAATACACAAACATCTTCACTACAGATGCATTCTAAGCTTCTATCATCAACACAGGTAACAACTCCTCTCTCTTAATTACTTGACGGTCCTTACCTGGTGAGTACATTGCCTCAGTGTGCTGGATGAAGTCAGGTAAGACACTGCCCTGAGCTGACTCGACCCATGGATGCTTCTGAACATTTTACTCATAAGCCAGGTAGCAAAGGTGTCATTAGTTGGTGCAGCTGGTGTGGTTGTTTGTGTACCCTCGTTACCAGCTGTATGTTTACTCTATGGTTATCGCTTGAGAGGTCGTAGTTATCGCTTGAGAGGTCGAAGCTATCAGGTGGCCGTAGTTATCAGGTGAGGTACAGTTGTCGTCGAACAGCTCCCTTAAGCTGTCGTTATATGGCTTAATCACCTTGGTATGCTGTGTGTGGGGGGTACAGAACTATTAGTCACTGTATTCCTAGTAAAGTGTGTGTGTGTGTGTGTTAGTAACTGTTTTCTCAGGCAGTTACTTGGCTATTTCACCCTGATGTTATTCACCCTTCCCTCCCCACCTCTCCCCCTCCCTTCCTACCTACCTTCTCCCCTCTACCCCTCCCCTCTCCCCCCCCCACCCCTACCACCCCCAGGAGTGTCGTGCTCGGGTCGTAAGGATAACAACCAGGTCATTCATAGAGTATTTCAGCCTGTCAACTACTTGGTCTAATGGCGGGCCGACAGCGTGTTCACACCTGACCCCCTGGACTTGAGGCAGATCCAAGAGGGTAAACTCGCAGTACAGGAGCCCGATATCTTCTTGGAATTCCACCTGTAGTTAGAAAGGATAATTGGGTTAGTTTAGTTGGTGTATGTATGTGAACGGGTGATTGTCTGACCTGACCTGACCTGACCTGACCCTTATTTCTTCTCTTTTCTATCTCCTGTCTTTAATTCCTCCTCCTCCTCTCCCAACCTAATTCTCCTCCCCCACCTCCCCCACCTCCCCCTCCCACACACCCCCACCCCCAACTCACCAACATATGCTGTATACGTAAAGGAACGATAAGCAGGTCAATAGCAAGTAAAGTTGTACAGTGGTTGTGAATCTGACCGGATCGAGGTCAAAGTCGTAACGATTCTGCCTGGGAAACGCCACTTGGAACCTCCTGATGTGTTGATGGCCGGTGTAACAAGGGGTAATGTCGTATACGTTCAGGCTTGGTGATTGGTCGTCGTATCTGATGGTAGTAATGATCTCGTTAATGAGGGAATTGTAGTTTAGTGGGTTGTTTGGGAACTTGGGTTAGGTTAGGTTGGGTTTGGTTAGGTTAGGTTAGAGGTAATTTAGTGACGGATGGGGAGAGAGGACTCACGTAGTAGTAGTAGTAGTGAGGTTGATAGATAGACAGAACACGTTTATATCAGCTTAAATACAGACAGGCAATGAAAATTAACCCAAAAATCAATAAAAGCTTAAAAAGGCGATTGCCAAAGCTGATTGAAGCTTATCTCTGTGTGTTAGGGTCTTGTCAAGTATAGTGAGGTAAGCTTAGTTGATGTTTTATGGTGTTAATAGTTTGTTCTTAACTAAGCTGTTTGAAGCTTATCTCTGTGTTAAGGTCTCTGTCAAGCATAGTGAGGTAAGCTTAGATGTGTTAATGGTGTAAGAGCGTCCTTAAGTAAGCTTATTGAAGCTTATGTGTGTTAAGGTCTTGTCAAGCATAGTGAGTGGCTTAGTCGATGTGTTGTCTTAAGAGCGTCCTTAAGTAAGCTGATTGAAGCTTATCTGTGCATTTTAATTAAGTCTGTCCTTAAATTTGTCTTCATAGAAAACTTTGTTATTTTTAAGGAGTAACTTGTCTATTGTGTTTTGTCCGTGTATTGTGTTGATAGATGGATGGATAGATAGATATTTAGATAGATAGATAGATAGATATTTAGATAGATAGATAGATAGATATTCAGGTAATAGGTGTGACTCAAAGGTATGACTCAGGGATATGACTCAAGGTGTGACCCACTTAAAGAAATTTTCCTGGTAGACAATGGTGTCATCGACGTAAGGCAGAAGAGGGTTAGTTATGTCCTGTTGTAGTCTGAGCAGCACAGGCTGGCGTGTTGGATGGTGCCTGGTTGATGGGTGTCGCCTCCATCCTCCTTCCATCAGACTGAGTGCGTGGGTTCGTAAAATGGTTAAAATGTATTAGGGTTGGGAGGAGGGGGTAGGTGTGGGTGTTTTTGGCCTCTCCTCCCTCTCTCTCTCTCTCTCTCTCTCTCTCTCCCCTCCCCCCCTCTCTCTTTCTCTCTTCCCCTCTCCTTCCTCATCTCCCCTTCCGGTTCCAGTTCTTGAATGGGCCAGAAAATATTAGAGATATTTATTTTATTATTTATTTTTTTTTATAAATGAAAATAGCTGTTTGGGCACACACTATACACACACACACACTATACACACACACACACACACACACACTATACACAGTCTAGATATTCAGTCAGTTGGATATTTCATCTCAGTGTATTATAATATACCATTAATAACATATATCTATCTTACTTAAAGCTTTATTATTGATGACTAGTTTGTTTACAGGGGCTCGTCATATAGCCTAGGTATCCTTCACTAGTGTGTTTACAGGGGCTCGTCATATAGCCTAGGTACAGTCCTTCACTAGTGTGTTTACAGGGGCTCGTCATATAGCCTAGGTACAGTCCTTCACTAGTGTGTTTACAGGGCTCGTCACTTTAGCCTGGGTACAGTCCTTCACTAGTGTGTTTACAGGGGCTCGTCATATAGCCTAGGTACAGTCCCTACTAGTGTGTTTACAGGGCTCGTCATATAGCTAGAATTGCAGTCCTTCACTAGTGTGTTTGGGGCCCTCATATAGCTAGGTACAGTCCCTTCACTAGTGTGTTTACAGGGCTCGTCATATAGCCTGGGTACAGTCCTTCACTAGTGTGTTTGGGGCTCGTCATATAGCCTAGGTACAGTCCCTTCACTAGTGTGTTTACAGGGGCGTCATATAGCTAGGTACAGTCCTTCCACTAGTGTGTTTACAGGGCTCGTCATATAGCCTAGGTACAGTCCTTCACTAGTGTGTTTTACAGGGGCTCGTCATATAGCCTAGGTACAGTCCTTCACTAGTGTGTTTACAGGCCTTTTATCATATAGCCTCTCCAGGTACAGTCCCCTCACTAGTGTGTTTACAGGGCTCGTCATATAGCCCAGGTACAGTCCTCCTCACTAGTGTGTTTACAGGCTCGTCATATAGCCTAGGTACAGTCCCCTTCACTAGTGTGTTTACAGGGGCTCGTCATATAGCCTAGGTACAGTCCCGTTCACTAGTGTGTTTACAGGGGCTCGTCATATATCCTAGGTACAGTCCCCTTCACTAGTGTGTTTACAGGGGCTCGTCATATAGCCTAGGTACAGTCCCCTTCACCAGCGCGTTTACAGGGGATCGTCATATAGCCTAGGTACAGTCCCCTTCACTAGTGTGTTTACAGGGGCTCGTCATATAGCCTAGGTACAGTCCCCTTCACTAGTGTGTTTACAGGGGTCACTAACCACACACTTACCACACCATAATAAGTCAAATTGGTCACTTGCGTCTGACTGAAGAGGACGTTACGAGGCACTTTGACGAGGCTGTCTGAGAAGTCCTCGTTAGCAATCAGGATGGTAGTACAGTTCCCGAGGGCCTTGTCTATAATGTACTCAACTCCACACCTATAGTCCTGTCGAGAGTACATAGAATGAGTAGATGAGTCCTTGGAATGACCCCCCACCCCCTCACCCCCCCCACCAGTACTTACCTTAATGGCAGTTATCTCAGTCAGTCCGGCTATATCGTATTCAACTGTGTTCTGATTGGTGATGAAATCGTTACGGTCGATCTGATTGTCGTGATCATACCAGCCCTGTGTGTGGTTAGGTTAGTGTTAGGTTAGGTTAGGTTACCAATAGTTAACACATTTAGTTTTTATATTATATGAACTAATCAGCTATTAGTAAAGATGAGGGGGCGTGGCTTATGGCCCGGGTTAGCGTGGAGAGGGTGTAACTAATGTACAGTCACCTTAACTTAACACCACCAGTTAGGAGACACAACACTGAGACTCCCACCTTAACACCACCAGTTAGGCGGGGGGCGGGGATATTTCATATATTAATATTTTTGCTGTAAATAAAATCAATCATAAAAATAATGTTTACAAAATCTGTACATGAGTTTGTGAATCATATTGTGCATCTCTCTCTCTCCACTTCTCCTCCACTCTCCCCCTCCACTTCTCCACCTCCATTCTCCCTCCATCTCCACCTCACCTCACCCCACCACCCTCACCACACCCCCACCACCTCACCTTAACAGTAGACACAAACTCCTGGTGTTGTTCTGTGCTCATCTGGGTGATAATCTCAACACGCTCGGAATACGCCTCAGCCAAGTTAAAGTCAGACCTCTTCAACACATCCGGCAGACCATCACAGTACACGTTGCTGGGGATCTCAAACACCCAGTCGTAGGTCGTCCAGTCGGGGTGGTCGTCAAAGAGGGCGTAGTTATAGGTCGTCTTGAGTTCCACTGGGTAAGGGTCGTTGTGTGGGAGATATATGTAACCGAAGAGAGTCATCGTTACAGGTCTTTCACTCGAGTATCCGAACATGTCGAGTGTTCGGTTTGGATCTGTGGGGATAAGGGTGGGTAAGTGGGGTGGTGGGTTGGTGGGTGGGTCATATTAGACACCCTACCCACCATAACCCACCGCCCCCCCCCATATCCTAACCTAACCTAACCTAACCTCAACAGTAGTACATGTAACATTGGTACCTACCTGACCAATGGTACTCGACGTAGAGGGTACCATTGTGAGCAGTGTAGATGCAGGCGTCCCAACGGTTACAAGGTATCGATCTTTCATTAAACCTTTCTACCCACGAGTACCTGTGGAATGGTGTACAGGTGTGAGAGAGAGAGAGAGAGAGAGAGAGAGAGCATCATTAATTATCAAAATGAAAATCAAAACAATAAAATTACTTGTAGGGTGAGGGGGGTGACAGGTGAGGAGGGGGGGTGACAGGTAAGGAGGGGGGTGACAGGTGAGGAGGGGGGGTCAAAGGTGAGACATACTTGTAGTTCCCGCCGAAGAGTAGTGCCTGGGAGGGTGCCAGTGCCAGTACGGTATGGTTGGTGCCTGTAGTGCCACCTGACAGCCACGGGGTGTCAGCCGAGATGTCTGCTGTCAAACACTCTACCCTTGGCACCCCGTCCTCTGTGTCTGTTGGGGAGACATATACATACATACATACATACATACATACATACATACATACATACATACATACATACAAGAGAAAGAATCACATTAGTTTATTTATTACCAAACAACAATAATAATAATAATAACAACAATAACAACAACAAAAAACACCCACCATTATAAGTAGAGACAATAACAACAGTATTAATCTCGTAGTAGAATATAGTATGGGTGTAGCCGTGGGCGTGGGCGTCAGTAAGGGCCAACACCTGCCTCTCGTAGTGGTAAAACTCCTGTAGGTAATGAGTGTTGTTGTAGAGCTGGTCCACTGCTTCTATGTGGGCGATGTAGCTTGATGGTGGCGTGGGCGTTATGGGTCCTGTGGGCGGGGGTAGAGAGGGAGGGAATGAGGCACTATTTTATTACACTATATCCTCCCTGGTATAGTGTCCCCCACCCACCCGCAAAATACTTCCTTAAATTTATCACCTGAAGTTTAGCCCCCCAGCTTATTTTCACCTGATTAGGTTACGTTAGGGTAGGTTAGTGTTAGGTTGGGTTAGGTTAGGTCAGCTCAGGTTAGGTTAGGATAGTTTAGTGTTGGGTTGGGTCAGGTCAAGGTTAATCAGCAACACTCTTCAAGACTTACCACAAGTGTAGGTGTATGGTTGACAGAACCTATCTTGGTGGTGTTTACATCTGGTTAACACCACCAGACACACCAAGAAGACACCATAAACACTATACATGGCTGATCTGGTAGTCCTGGTAGTCTCTGGTAGCCACTGGTAGTCTCTGGTAGCCACTGGTAGTCCCAGATAATCGCTAGTAGTGTCTGGTAGTCACTGTTAGCCTCTTGTAGTCACTGATAGCCACTGTTAGCCCCAGATAATCCCTGATACCCACTGGTAGCCTCTAGTAGCCCCAGTTCTCTCTACCTAGTATACAGGCTATTTAAACCCGTGACAACAATGCCTGGCCCTGGGTATCAGCTGAGTGTCGTCACCCTGATACCATAATCCTGACGTCAATTTATCTAATGATCGTTTTTATTCAAATTTCTATTAAATAAACGTTTCTAATTTTTATGTAATTTGAAAGTATATTAATTTATCATTAGGGAGTTTATATAGATGTGTATATATAAAGTTTGTATTTAATTAGGGGGTGTAATTTTTAAGACGTGGTAACTTAAAACTCCCTCCCTCCCTCCCTCTATCTTCCTCCCCCCTCGATGCCTATCATGATAAATTAACCACAAACTTTTAAACAAACAATATTATCCTGTTTTATGACATTGGTGGTCGGTGGGATTGTTAGATAGGACACACACACACACACACACATACACCACACACACTACACACACACACTACTACTTTACTGTCAAGTATAACGATCATCCAGCTATGATACAATGATATGAGTTATTAAGGATGTCACCTACTGTAGGTTGGTGAGTTCTGAGGTGACTGAAGAGGCCGATACGGGACCGGCAGAGTCGTCCACTGATGGTGCACGTGTGGGGGGCTACAGCTAGTGCGGGAGGAGCGGTGGCAGCGTCTTTCTGGCCTTAGCTCTTGTCCGCCTCGTTATACAGTCGGGCTAACTCGAAAGTATTGACACCTTCTCGTGTGGTGCTCCTCCAAGCGTTACGGTGTGCAGTAATCGTCTCCCAGGTGAGGGGGTCCATTAGGCACTTTTTCAGGTTTGTCTTAAGACTATCCTTATACCTCTTCAGTTGCCTCGATGCTCCTACAGTTGGTGTCAGCGAGAATACTGGCATTTGTTCTCTTGTCTTCCCAGCTAACTCGGAGGATGGAACGTAGACTACGTTGGTGAAAGTTTTCAAGTGCCTTGAGGTGCCT